GTAGAGGTGACCTACAATCTTACATTAACCATTATAAACCGTTGTATATAGGTGACCTACAATCTTACATTAACCATTATAAACCGTTATGTAGAGGTGACCTACGATCTTACATTACCATTATAAACCGTTGAGTAGAGGTGACCTACAATCGTACATTAATCATTATAAACCGTTGTGTAGAGGTGACCTACAATCTTGCATTAACCATTTTAAACCGTTGTGTAGAGTAACCTAGAATCTTGAATTAATCAGTATAAACCGTTGTGTAGAGGTGACCTACAATCTTAAATTAACCATTATAAACCTTTGTGTAGAGGTGACCTACAATCTTAAATTAACCATTATAAACCTTTGTGTAGAGGTGACCTACGATCCTACATTAACCATTATAAACCGTTGTGTAGAGGTGACCTACGATCTTACATTAACCATTATAAACCGTTGTGTAGAGGTGACCTACGATCTTACATTAACCATTATAAACCGTTGTGTACAGGTGACCTACGATCTTACATTAACCATTATAAACTGTTGTGTAGAGGTGACCTACAATCTTACATTACCATTATAAAGAGTTGTGTAGAGGTGAACTACAATCTTACATCAACCATTATAAACCATTGTGTAGAGGTGACCTACGATCTTACATTAACCATTATAAACCGTTGTGTAGAGGTGACCTACAATCTTACATTACCATTATAAAGAGTTGTGTAGAGGTGACCTACAATCTTACATTAACCATTATAAACTGTTATGTAGAGGTGACCTACGATCTTACATTACCATTATAAAGAGTTGTGTAGAGGTGACCTACAATGTTACATTAACCATTATAAACTGTTGTGTAGAGGTGACCTACAATGTTTCATTAACCATTATAAACCGTTGTATAGAGGTGACCTACAATGTTACATTAACCATTATAAACCGTTGTGTAGAGGTGACCTACGATCTTACATTAACCATTATAAACCGTTGTGTAGAGGTGACCTACGATCTTACATTAACCATTATAAATTGTTGTGTAGAGGTGACCTACAATCTTACATTACCATTATAAAGAGTTGTGTAGAGGTGACCTACAAAGAACATCCTAGCCAAACACTTTGGTTTTGGCTAACAAAAAATTATGTAAAGTCTGAAACATATATATTTGTTTAATTCACGATATCATCTTCCCAATTTTTAGAACATTGGTTTGTGAACCACACGTGATAATCAGTTAATTTACAGTCACTTGTTTCTTGTGGATCTGGTGAGTTTTAGACAGTCGCTTGTTTCTTGTGGATCTGGTGAGTTTTAGACAGTCACTTGTTTCTTGTGGATCTGGTGAGTTTTAGACAGTCACTTGTTTCTTGTGGATCTGGTGAGTTTTAGACAGTCACTTGTTTCTTGTGGATCTGGTGAGTTTTAGACAGTCGCTTGTTTCTTGTGGATCTGGTGAGTTTTAGACAGTCACTTGTTTCTTGTGGATCTGGTGAGTTTTAGTGTTTGTTCCAATGTAAATGTGATCTGACTAAAACATTCAACTTTGAAACTAAGTTAGAGAACAAAAAACAACATGAAAATAAAAAAGACAACTTTAAGATCCACTATAGATATAATTTTAGATCTTGCTGTACATCAAGAGAATTTCACACCAAACTGCTACACTTATATAAACACCGTATTTTGCCTTGCTCGGGACTATGTGCTTATTTTGACAATCCCCCTTGTCAAATGTGAATTTAGAGAATACCCTTAACAACTATAAGCTTTGGGCGACTTTCTTGTCAATTGTAAAGTCAGGGATACTTTCCTGTAAATGGTGAACAGGTATCTTTGAGACAAATACGAGTTAGATCGTGCATGACTAATATGTTACAACGTCACAGGAAGAAGACGCCAAATGATACTGGCAAGTTATAATAAAATCTCTGTTTCACCTAAAGCTGTTTAAATAAAGTTTATATTTTTTACCTGAAACCGAATCCTGCCAAGCAGAATTGTTAGGTCCAGATATCTGTCAGAAAGTAAGGTGTCAGCTTCTTCCTCAGTGTGAGGGTAATGACCATTTATCTAAAAAAAAATACCAAAAATCAAGAAACGTCAAATGGTTGTAAGTTACAAATGATGGTTAATAAAACACTTAAAATAGAATGTTTCTAAGCATGTTTTCGAACAAAGTGATAGACATCTGGCGTTATAGTTATCTACGAACAAAATACTGTTTTCGGACAGTATCAGTCAATCTAAAAGATTAGGTTTAAATAATATTCCTGTAACCTGCTCAACATAAAGATTGGGTTTAAATGATGCTCTGTTTGTAAAAATTGACCACTCAAATGAAAGGAAATGATTCCATGTTTGAAGATAGCTTTTATATGCGAAACATCTGTTAGCTGAGTTCTTGCACAGATCTTAAAATATAACGTTGATAAACGGAAACATCGGCACATGTAGATATGTAGATCTTGAAAGTCGAGTTGTTTCAAGATCTACATATCTACTTTACACAACCACCAAATCTATTACGTCCACTTTACACAACCACCACATCTGTTACGTCCACTTTACACAACCACCAAATCTATTACGTCCACTTTACACAACCACCACATCTATTACGTCCACTTTACACAACCACCACATTTGTCACGTCCACTTTACACAACCACATCTGTTATGTCCACTTTACACAACCACCAATCTGTTACGTCCACTTTACACAACCACAACCACATCTGTTATGTCCACTTTATACAACCACATCTGTCACGTCCACTTTACACAACCACCAAATCTATTACGTCCACTTTACACAACCACATCTGTTATGTCCACTTTATACAACCACATCTGTCACGTCCACTTTACACAACCACCAAATCTATTACGTCCACTTTTCACAACCACCACATCTGTTACGTCCACTTAACACAAGACGCCCATTAAACGTTAATTACCAATGACCTAATCATGACCGTTCACAGTACCTGTAGAATCTGATCTCCTTCCTGTAGTCGGCCATCTTTATCTGCTATACTACCTGCTTCGATCTGTAGCCACAATAAAAACAATGTTATGAACTGAAAATATAATTATTTCAAATTGTATACGAAAGCTTAACTAAATGATCGTTGATAAAAACATTATATAATTCAGTAGTTTGTCTTTAAAATATAATTTAAATATACATGACTTTTCTCAGTAAAACGTTAAACAATCAACATAATTCATTTCTTAAGAACATACAAGTTATAACTACAGCAACACGTACTATATCTGTGTCGTTCTTAGTTTCTGATATAAATTATATTCTTTCTTATGATGTTCCGATATTTCTGATATAGATTTCAACAAAGTTTTACTACGATTTGTCGGTTTTAGGGTTATCTGCTGTGTCCACTGCGGGGGGGAATCGAACCCCGGATTTTAGCGTTGTAAGTATATAGACGTACCGCTTTCCCACCGGAGGACAAGTCTTTATACGATCTCTTTGATGGCGGTCACCTTTGAAACGTAAACAAACTAGGCTGGAAATAGTGTTTACATTATTTTCTCAAGCTAGAGATCCCTATTTTGACCCCATGTTTACAGTACTTTTAGTGAACAATTTTAGTGAAGTCAAAACAGGGATATGTATCTTAAGAAAATAATTTAGACACTATTTCCACTCTAGTTTGTCCCTAGTTGTATGCTTGAAAATATAAACTTTGCATTTTGATTCAATTTGTTTCTGTACTTTTTTTGACGATCCCTATTCCCCTTCTTAAATTAACAATTTTTAATTATTTTGTATATATATATATATATATACTTACAGAGCCGGTGCAAACACTAGGCAGTTGCCTAGGGCGACAAATACAGTAAGTTGGCAATATTTATGTACGAAATATAAAAATGATGTTGTTCGAGCAGACAGTAGCCACGTGTCAGTTGAAACTTTACAAATACTGTATGTTAGTTAAGCTATTTTAAAGAATGTATTTGGATATTGTTGTTTCATTAACGATTCTGCTCAAACTTTTGATTCCCAGTTTGATTTAGCATCATTATCCTACGACTTTTATTAAAGAGTTTTTTAATCCATATACTGTACTATCTAGATACTTACATTCGGGTGCGCCACCTAGCTAGCTCGAGAGTATGATGACGATCTCGGAATCCCGAGGAAGGTCAGGTACACAAAATTGATGCCAGATTGATATGCGGTTACACCATACAGATACCCCCCCCCCGGATCATCTCGAGTCTTATCGCGAGTATGATGACGATCTCGGAATCCCGAGGAAGGCCAGGTACACAAAATTGATGCCAGATTCGGGTTAGGCGATCATTAATACATATTCCTAGACTCCCATCACGCCTAGGAACCTTGATATGCGGCTACGCCATACAGATAAAGACCTCTTCCCCGGATCATCTCGAGTCTTATCTTCCGGTCCTGCTAGCTCCGGAAATGTGAGTTTGCTGGACAGTGGTTACATAGATATACTTGTGGTTACTCAGTAACCATGGGGTTGAATATAAATCTTATTACGAGCATCGCAATCATAATATTTTTTGTTAAAAGCACTGAAAGTTTGGGAATAAAACATAACTTTTCGTTCGTTATATAAGTTCCTCGGATCATTAAATAAGAGAAAATGTATATAAGATTTAATCTTACAATTATATTATTTTCTTTAAACAGATAATGAAAACCAACGAACGTCACGTTTTGTTCAAAGTAATTTTCCATAAACTTCGTTGCCCTCCCCCAGTGGCACAGCGGCATGTCTGCGAACTTATAACGCTAAAAGCAGAGTTTCGATGCCCGTGGTGCCCAGAACACAGACAGCCCATTGTGTAGCTTTGAACTTAATTACAAACAAACTTCTAGTTAGTCATATTATATTATATTTTCGTAGCATTGTTTCATTGGTCGAACTTGATTCCGAAAAAGTGAAATACCGTTTAATGACTACTTGTGGTAATTAATCTTTTATTGTATTTAAATTCTGGTTTAATATTTTCATTAAATACTTGCCTGTAAATGCTGTTACTTGGTGTTGAATTCAGGAGAAATTTACAAGCCGAATCTCGCAACTTGTCTGCCGTAACAGATTTAATATTCGATAAAAAAGAAAAATGTTAGACGCGGCAGTAGTGTAACGAGCTCAAACCCCGCTCTTCAGAAAAAGTTTAAATTCAAGAGATAACTTTAATATACAGATAACGTGTGTAATAAATGTTAGTGAAACACATAATTAGTGGAAGCCTAAATTTTAACACAACGGAAATACGTACGTGATTGATAAAGATATGTCTGTGAGCTTCGTTGGAGAAACTGCTACAAAATGTTAGGCCTAGCTTTTCAGAACTGCATTTCCGGTGTAGCGTTACTATCTGTCAAACACACACAAAAAGACAACTGTTACGTCTCCGTTTGTTAATTAACTTTCCGTAACTTCGTTCGGACGAAACTTTAGCGATACAAGTCCTTACTTAATAAAACTGGTTTATTCTTTCTGAATATAACTTCACGATACACTTGATTTCAACATTCGCGCTAAAACAAACGCTATAACGAACCTCAACAATACTCTCTGACTGCAGATCAATTACTCACTACCTACACACACTTTGTCACGTCACGCCGTGACCATCTTATATATACCAGACCACCCCCCAATGTAGTAAATGCTAGAGCACTCCCGAAGGAACGGGATAGTTCTAGAAAGCAGGTGGCGTGACACTAGTCACGTGACCTCGCTGACGCAACACAACTTAAATAAATGTTTTCATCTATCAGATTCCAACATTTGGATACTAAAACGATTTATTCTAGTAACAAATTTCTTCCTTATCTTAAACATAATATAAGATTTGTAGACTATGTTTAATTAAAATATTTTAAGTTAGACACTTTGTATTACTTGCCAGACAGAGTTTTGGTATGATGTGCGACGACTAGACGTGACGTGACTTGTCGAATTTTATGAAAACTTGGAGAAAAGAAATATTGTATGAAAATACCAGACAGTTGTTACTGATTAGTTAATTAGATAATGACATAGTTAGTGAATTGTCGATCGATTTCTGAGTGAGCAAACATTTTTATTGAGTTGATGATATTGAGACGAGAGGAAATTTAACAAGTGCCTTTATTTCTGAGTTAGACCTTTATGAAATATTAAAAGTTGTGAAATCTTGAACTGAAGAAATAAAACGTTTTCCTTTTCGTTAAGTGGACTAGACTTTCCATTATTTCTACAAACAACAAAAACACCGGACAAACTGTAATTTCAAGAGTCAATAGTTCGCATCCTCTCACACACACACACAAAATAATAATAATAACACCCCGAACTTTCGGGCCGTGTGTGAGCTATAAGAGTGACAGTCATATTCTATTTGTTTATTAGAGTAGGTCAAGAGTTCGCAGTTTACCAGTTCAAAACCAGGGACGCCTAAGACAGATAGTCTGAAAAAAGGTTACGTAACCCAAACTCTGAAGGTCGCTATGATAGCCCCTAGAAACACATTATATAACTCATGCTCCAAAGCACACTATGATAGCCCCTAGAAACACATTATATAAATTATGTTCGAAAGGATACTATGATAGCCCCTAGAAACACATTATATAACTCATGCTCCAAAGCACACTATGATAGCTCCTAGAAACACATTATATAATTCAAGCTCCAAAGATCGCTACGATAGCCCCTACAAACACATTATATAACTCAAGCTCCAAAGATCGCTAGGATAGCCCCTACAAACACATTATATAACTTAAGCTCCAAAGATCGCTAGGATAGCCCCTACAAACACGTTATATAACTCAAGCTCCAAAGATCGCTAGGAGATAGCCCCTACAAACACGTTATATAACTTAAGCTCCAAAGATCGCTAGGATAGCCCCTACAAACACAGTTATATAACTTAAGCTCCAAAGATCGCTAGGATAGCCCCTACAAACACAGTTATATAACTTAAGCTC